CGTGGGACAGGTGCATCTGAGGCCTGCGCCCCCTTCGAGGGGCAGCAGCAGGCTGGGGCGGTGTGTTGGAGCCGTGGGACAGGTGCATCCGAGGCCTGCGCCCCCTCGCGGGGCAGCAGCAGGCTGGGGCGGTGTGTTGGAGCCGTGGGACAGGTGCATCCGAGGCCTGCGCCCCCTCTCGGGGCAGCAGCAGGCTGGGGCGGCGTGTTGGAGCCGTGGGACAGGTGCATCTGAGGCCTGCGCCCCCTCGCGGGGCAGCAGCAGGCTGGGGCGGCGTGTTGGAGCCGTGGGACAGGTGCATCTGAGGCCTGCGCCCCCTCGCGGGGCAGCAGCAGGCCGGGGCGGCATGTTTGGAGCCGTGGGACAGGTGCATCTGAGGCCTGCGCCCCCTCGCGGGGCAGCAGCAGGCCGGGGCGGCATGTTTGGAGCCGTGGGACAGGTGCATCCGAGGCCTGCGCCCCCTCGCGGGGCAGCAGCAGGCCGGGGCGGCGTGTTGGAGCCGTGGGACAGGTGCATCTGAGGCCTGCGCCCCCTCGCGGGGCAGCAGCAGGCCGGGGCGGCGTGTTGGAGTCGTGGGACAGGTGCATCTGAGGCCTGCGCCCCCTCGCGGGGCAGCAGCAGGCCGGGGTGGCGTGTCAGCCCCGCTATCCCCGTGGGAGGCCGGGCTCTGGGGTTTGCGGGGCTGGCCCTGTGGCTGGAGCAGCACCATGCTGGGTCCCCAGAGCCCACGACAGGCCACCGGGCTCCCCGTCTGTTAGTGGGGGCCAGGGCATGGGTGTTTGTCAGGATTTCGGCTGGGGGAGGGGAGTTCATAGAAACTCAGCACTCTCATTTTTTTTTAATGTTTTTCCTTCTAAATGATCATCTTATTGAAAAATTTAGAGAATGAAAGAAAGAGCAAGTCGCCCACCACCCGTGCCTCCTAGGTCTTACTTAGGACCTCCCGTTCCCCCCACCCGCCAACACAGCTTGGAGCAATTTGGTTTTCTCTTCCAGTCTTCTTTATAAGTCTTTTTTAAAAAATTATTTGTTTTTAGAGACAGGGTCTGGCTCTGTTGCCCAGACAGAGTTCACCGCTGCTGGAGTGCCGTGGTTTTGTCATAGCTCACTGCAGCCTCCAATGTAAGGTAAAGGCAATTCCTCATTGCCCAGCCTCCAAGTAGCGGGACTACAGGTGATGCACCGACCCATGCCAGGCTCATTTTTTTAAAAAAATTTTTTTTTGTAGGGATGGGGTCTTGCTGTATTGCCCAGCCTGGTCTCAAACTCTTGGCCTCAAGCAATGGTCCCTTGCCAAAGTGCTGGGATTACCTGTGCCACCTCGCCCGACCACTTTTTTTTTTTTTTGAGACAGAGTCTTGCTTTTGATTGCCAGGCTAGGAGTGAGTGCCCTGGCATCAGCCTTCGCTCACAGCAAGTCAGACTCCTGGGCTCAAGCCATCCTCCGTGCCTCAGGCCTCCCGAGTAGCGGACGTAGCAGCATGCGCCCACCAATGCCCGGGCTGAATTTTTTTCTATACTATTTTAGTGGGCCAATTAATGTTGTCGTAGTTTATAGTAGAGGACGTGGTCTCACTCTTGCTGGTTCGAGACTCCGGACGTGTCCGAGCAAATGCCGCCCCCTCGGCGCCCCAAGAGTGCTGGGATGACAGGCGTGATCCACCGCAGGCCACTCTTATTCTAGGAGTTTCCACATTGTGTCCAAGTCAGGTGCTACCCGACATCCTGAGGGCTCCTCACAGCTGGCAAGGCGTGGACATGGTGCTCTGTGGGCTTCAGGTGCCTCTCGGTACTGCAAAGAGACGGAGCTTCTAGGAGACGGTGGTACCGTGTTGCGAGACGCGTGCCCCTGTGCGCAAGACGCGGAGACACGTTACCGTTCTGTTCCAGATGCGTTGCCTGGTGTGCGCAGGCGCGGAGACACGTACCCATGTGCACAGATGCGTGCCTTGTGTGTGCAGGCGTGGAAGTACCCACGTACCCCTATTGTGCGCCGCGGCGGCGGAGACACGTACCCGTGTGTGCAGGCGTGGAGACGTGTACCCGTGTGCGCAGGCGCGTACCTGTGTGCGCAGACGCGGAGACATGTAACCCGTGTGCGCGGAAGCGTATCTGTGGAGACACGTACCCGTGTTCGCAGATGCGTACTTGTGTGCGGAGACGCGTACCCGTGCACGTGGGCGCGGAGACGGGTGGGCGCGGGGACGGGTGTCCGTGTGCACAGATGTGGAGATGCGTATCCGTGCGCGTGGACGTGGAGATGCATAGCCGTGCGCGCGGGCGCGGAGAGGGTTGACCGTGTGCGGGGACGTGGAGCTGCGTATCCGTGCGCGGGCGCGGAGAGGGCTGTCCGTGCGCGCGGGCGTGGAGAGATTCGTCGCAAAGAATGGCTGGGTTAGTTGTGGGCCGCAGTCTCCAGGCGGAGTTCCTCCTTCCTCGTGGGAATCCGTTTCCCCCGAGACCTTTAGCTGATTGAACGAGGCCTCCCTGACCATCGAGGGTCACCGCCTTCCTTACATGCAGTCAGCCGGTCGCGGACGGCGACCACGTCCACAGCGCAGCGCCAGGGTGCGCCTAGACCGGGGGTCGTGGAGTAGTAACGAGTCCCCGGACCCTGCAGCCCCATCAGCCCACCTGGCCCCTGTGGCCGTCCTCCGCCGCGCCCTCCTCACCATGCCCGGGGACGGCTCGCTGCCGGCGCAGCGCCACAGCGCCCCCTGGTGCCCGCGGGCCGCCCTGTGCCTTCTGCAGCCGCCCGCCCTAGCTGAGCAGCCCCCAACCTCAGCAGTGGGAGAGCCCCCGTGCCCCCACCCAGCCCCGCCCCGTGTGCCTTCCCCAGGTGCTCTCCAGCCCGGGGGTGGCAAAGCGCGTGGCATGTCACCCTTGTGTGCTGTGTGTCCAGACTCACATCCCCCACACGTACAGCGTTGGCCCGTGTCACTGATGAGGTGGCCCCAAGTGAGAGAGCTGGGGACCGGAACCCCACTCGGTGACATGGGGTGAAGTCGCGGTTCAGTTTGCAGGGCTTGTGCTGCGGGCTTTGGTCCTGGGCCATGCTGCCACCAGGCCCTGAGAGGGGCCCTCTGGTGGGAGAGGTCCCGTGACCTGCCTCGGAGCGTTCCCTGGAGGTGTGTCATTCACCTCGTCACCCGGCCTGTAGCTCTGTGTCAGCAGGACAGGGAAGCAGGGATGGAGGCCCCTGTCCCGCAGGGACCTGAGGCCAAGGAGGGGTGCAGGGCAGACGCCAGTGGACGGGACGCTCTCCTCCTCCCAGAGTAGCGCTGGTCGCGTGAGGGTGGGGACAGGAGGGTCATCAGCCCAGGACGACTGCTGCAGAGACTGCCTGGCGCCCCCGGGGCGGCCACGCCTGGGAGTGGCACGGGCGCTGGGCTCGGTGGCTCCACGGGCCCTGGGCCGGCTGCGGCCAGGCGTGTCCATGGCTTCCTCTGTGGGTCCCAGCGCGGCCCGAGGGCCAGGTCCCATCTGCGGCCACAGCAGGGGACGGGCGCAGGTCCCTCCACGTTCCCGGCGGCTTGGGGCTCTGTCCTCAGTCTCACGCCGAGGGCGCGGACAGGCAGAGCCTCCTGCGGGTGCACGTGGCAGCTTGGCAGGGTGGCGGGCAGGGGTCACCCTCGGGGCCCCCCATTCTGTCCCGTGCTGATGCAGTATCTGGGTGTCCGTCCCAAGGCGCCGGAGGGAGAGATGGGGCTCAGGGTAGCCGGGGGGTGTGGCAGCCCAGGGACGGGGCCTGGCGCCTCCCTCGCGTTCAGGTCCACCCTCGAGGACCACCTGAGCCCCCTTTGCGTGTCTGCCGGGCGTGAGGAGCTCGCGTGCTCAAGCCCAGGGACTTGTTGGGGAAGGGTCGCCCCTGTGACGGGCGGCCTGGAATGCCGTGTCCCCTGGCGTGGCGCAGTCTGTCTGTCTGCTTGCCTCTCCCCCGTCCGTCCCCCTCAGCAGGGCCACAGGGACGCCGTCCAAAGTCGGGTCTGTGTGAACTGCAATGCTCCCATTCTGTGTCTCACGTGACCCGTGGTGCCGCCAGCTCTGCTGATCCGTGGGCCCCACAGGCCGTGGGATGGCGGTGGGCACGCAGGGAGTCCGTGGCCAGCGTAGGCGGCTGCCGATAAGCTGTCACCCAGCCGGGATGCCAGTGCTGTGCGGGGCAGCTGACACCCCTCTCGTCACATCTCGCCCCGGAGGGTGTCTTGGGCCAATCTGGGAAACTGAGTCACAGTCCAGACAAACCGCTCTCCCAAGGTCACACGGTCAGGGTGGGCTCCCCGCCTCCAGGCAGGTGCTGAGCGAGGTGCCTGCCCCAGACCGCGCTGCCGAGAGACCAGACACCCCGCCCCGCCCCCACGTAGGGACGTGGGCCGGCACTGTAGGGAGAGCGGAGGCGTGTTTAGAGGGAGCTGCCGGCACGTTCTATCCTGAGGGCTGTGCCGTGGGGGGTCGGAGAGATGGGCCTGGGTGGGGCCCCTGCCCGGTGCTGTGGCCCCTCCGTGCCGAGGAATCCCGGTGACACCCCCGCCCCCCGCAGCACATCTGCGTCCCCCAGCCGGACTGCGCGGCGGAGCCGCGGACCTTCTCCTTCTACCTCTCCAACATCGGCCGCGACAGCCCGCAGGGCAGCTTCGACTGCGTGCAGCAGTACGTCTCCAGGTGAGCGCCGGCGCCCGATCCCGAGGGGGGGGGCGTCTCCCGGCGCCGGTGCTGACCCGGCCCTCCCTGCAGCTGCGGGGATGTGCTGCTGGACTGCCTGGGCAGCATCCAGGACAAGATCACCGTGTGCGCCACCGATGACTCCTACCAGAAGGCGCGGCAGAGCATGGCCCAGGCGGAGGAGGAGACGCGCAGCCGCAGCGCCATCGTCATCAAGGCCGGGGGCCGCTACCTGGGTGAGCGCGGGGGGGCTGGGCTGCCCTGGGAGGAGGGAGCAGGTCGGGCCGTCCGTCCGGGCCGGGGACCGGCCGTGCGCGGTGGAAGCCACGGGTCAGCCGCGGACGAGCAGGGCGTCCCCAGCCAGCGTCCAGGCCGGGGAGGGAGGTCTGGGCACAGTGGCCCCGGGGCCGTGGCAGCTGCTGTCGCGTGGACGTGGGGCGGAGAACCCCGGGAGCCCTGAGTCGGCAGGCTGTGGCCTCAGGGACCCGCCGGGGAGACAGACAGGGTCCTCCGAGCCGGGAGCTGCCAGGGCGCGGCCCCGTCTGCCTGTCGCCCAGCTCCTCCCGCCTGGCCGGCGGGGGCGTTGAGGCGGCGGCCCTGTGTGTGTGTCTACGCTGGGGACGGGAAGCCTGCAGGGAGGCGCTCACCGCCCAGTGTCTCCAGAGCAGCTGCCAGAAGCAGCCCTGACGCCTTCATTCACCGCTTAAAAAAAAAACACCCAGAAAACAAAAAGAGTTCCTCAGGGCCTGCGTAGGACTAGAGTGTGGGCTTGGGGGTGCCAGCCCCCTGCGGCTCTGGGACCCTCGGTTTAGCATCGGAGGGTTTACGGGCCGCCCAGCGCCCTCGAGCCGCTTGGATGGTCGAGTGTGTCTGGGGTTCAGTTAAGCCCCTAAAGCGCTGACCGTTTGGCCGCCTCACGTCCTGCGTCTGAGGCGGGGCCTGCGGGTGCCAGGCCTGGGCGGCGGGGGCACCCGCCCTTGGCCATCCGGGGTCCCCGCCGAGCGGGCTGGGCCGGCTCCGCCCTGGCGGGCGCCTCCCCTGACGCCGGGCTCTCTTTGCAGGCAGGAAGGTCCAGTTCCGGAAACCGGCCCCCGGGGCGACAGAGGCCGTGCCCTCCCGGAAGCGGGCGACCCCCGTGAACCTGGCGAGCGCCATCAGGAAGAGCGGCGGCGCGAGCGGGGCGGGGGTGTCCCAGAGGCCCTTCCGCGACCGGGTGCTGCACCTGCTGGCGCTGAGGCCCTACCGCAAGGCCGAGCTGCTGCTGCGGCTGCAGAAGGACGGCCTGGCGCAGGCGGACAAGGAGGCGCTGGACGGCCTCCTGCAGCAGGTGCGTGCGCCGGGGTGGCGCAGCCGCGAGTCTGCAGGCGCGTCCGCGAGTCTGCAGGCGCGTCCGCGGGCAGGAGGGGCCGGGACGCCGAGGCCGGGACTCGGTGGCGGGGAAGAGCCCTTCCCGGGGCCCTTACGTGTTGGCAGCCTGCCTCGGGGCGGGGCGGAGCCCGCTCGGGCCGTGACCTTTCCCGGCCGTCTGCCGCCAGGCGGGTGGTGGGGCCCAGCGGGCGGGAATGCCAGGTGCGGCGGCCGCAGGCGTTCACAGAATGGGGGTGGGTGGGGAGTCTGCAGGCGCGGGTCAGCGCTGGGCAGGCGGGCGAGCCAGGCTGGGATGGCGGCAAGGGCTTTGCGTCTGGGCCCTCCAGGCTTCCGCCTGTGGTGGCCGCGGCGCCACTGCCCCCCCTCAGGGTCCAGGCCCAGCCCGCAGGGATGCGGTGCCGGCAGTGAGCCCCGTGGAGAGCCGCCCTGGGTGTACGGCAGGTCTGGTGGCCCTGGGGGCCTCCCGCCGCCCCTCCCCGCAGGGATTCCAGGGTCCTGGGAAGGCTGGTGGCCGGTGCTGGTGCACTGCCCGGGTGGGGCCTCGACGTGAACTGGGCACGGGCGTCTCGGGTCGCGGCTGTGGTCGAGGAGGAGGCGTGGCCGTGCCCCCCCCCCACCGTGTCTGCCAGGGGTCACATCCCCCAGGTGGCCCCGCCCCACCGGCTCCCTCCGACACCCCGGAGCACAGACGGCACCTCCTGTCGTGGAGGGCACACGCGTGAGGTGCGTGGCAGCCGGCAGCTGTCCCTAAGGCGCCTCCCCGAGTCACTGGGCTCCTCAGGCGGCTTCTCCCCTGCGCCGTGGCCCGAGCCGGCCCAAGGACCTCGCAGCACGACCCTGGGAGCACGGTGCTCGGCTCCCGCCGCCCCTACCGCTCCTGAGGCGGGGCTGGCGTGCTGCGCGGAGGCTCCCTCGGGGAGCCTGCTGCGGTGGGCAGACGTGGGGCCCGTGTCGGCCCGGCCAGGACGTCTGCAAGCCAGGCCCTTTCCCAGGACAAGAGAGAGGCCACGCCAGACTCCGGCCCGGCCACCTCCTGAGGGACGGCACGGCCAGTGACCACCGTGGTGTCTCCTGCACGGCTCGTCTGCCGTGCGTTTCCGGTTTGTGACGCGGCTGGTTCTCCCCAGCCATCCGGTGCTGGGGGCCCAGTGACAGGGCCCCATTGGCTGTGCAAGAGGAAGATTTGGGCACGTGGCTCACCCAGGCTGGTGGCTTCCAGCCTCCTAACGGCCACCAGAGACTCCAGGGAGCAGCGGTGACGAATCCGTACTCTTCCAGGGCGAGGGCTCTTCCTCCTCTGGAAACACCCGGAGCAGAGACGGCCATCTGCGGGCCGCAGGGAGACCCACAGGCTGTCCTGGGGGTGTGGACGGGCGGGTGGTGGTTGGTGAAAGCCGTACCAAGAGCCCTGAAGACGTCCAGCCTCTGACCCGATGCTCCCACTGCTGGGAGGCCCGCCGAAGGAAGCCACCGCCACGCGGAGAACCCGCGCCCAGTGCCGTCTGTCTACGCTACAGAGAGGCTGGCAAGGGCGGCCTCGTCCCACGGTGGAGACCGGTCTCGGGGGACACTACGCAGCTGTCACAGAACGCGCCCTGTGGAAACTGCCGAGGCGCCGAGTCCTCGTCGGTTGTGGCGGCTGCCCGGCCCGCGGCCAGACGGCGCCACACGCGTCGTGCGTGTGCTGGAGACCCGGGCGCCGCGGGCTGGCACGCCGGCACCGGCCGTGCGGTGGCCTGGGCTCCTTCGGCCGCTCCGAGGCGCACGTTCTGGCCCGCCTCAGCCAGGAGTCTGGAGGCGAGCCCCGCCGCGGCCGACCGGGAGAGCAGGGAGGCCCCTCACGTGGCACCTGCAGCCACGGCCCGCCTGCCCCGGGAGCTGCTGGCAGAAGGGCGCGCTGGCGTCCTGGGACCCGAGGTGGCCGTCCTCCCTGCTTGGGAGCCGGCCTTGCCCCCGGCACCTGTGGGACGGCCGAGTCTGGGCCTCGCGCCTGCACCCGAGGGCACGTGGAGGGGCCCCCCGCTGTCTGCGTGCCCACCTCCCTGCGCGTCTCCACCCCCCAGCCAGATGTTCTGGAATCCTCCGGGCCTCGGGCTTTCCCGCGCGGTGACGGCGGCTCTGTCTTGCAGGTGGCCAACGTGAGTGCCAAGGACGGCGCGTGCACGCTCAGGGACTGCATGTACAAGGACGTGCAGAAGGACTGGCCCGGCTACTCGGAGGGGGACCAGCAGCTGCTGAAGCGTGTGCTTGTCCGGTAACGGGCCCCTCGTCCCCAGCCGTGTCCCCAGCGCCCGAGCGTGGGCCGGAGCTGTCCCGAGGGCGCCGCCGTGGTCTCAAGGGGGCCCAAGAGCAGGGAGGAAAGGTCCGAGGAGGCCACCCCGCTGTCCTCCCGTGGCTTCCCATGCGGGGGCACGGCCAGCCCCTCGGGGTGGGGGGGCACGGCCAGCCCCCTCGGGGGGGGGGGCAACGCCAAGCCCCCCCGGGGGGGGGGGGGCACGGCCAGCCCCTCGGGGTGGGGTGGGGCGGGGGCCAGCAGCCCCAACCCTAGAATCCTCGGAAGAAAGGCCTCGGCCCACCCGGGCCATCCTCAGCTGTCCCTGACTTCCTGCCAAGCTCCCCCCAAACCTGGGCGTCCCTAGGGGTTTCTGCCAAAGTCCACTTTTTAAAAAGAACTCTCGAGAACACAGTGCAGAGAAACGAGGCAAAAGGCAAAGCACAACTCCCTGCTGACACGGCTGAGCAGCCCTAACCAACCGCGTCCCCTCTCAGAGTAGTTGGGGCCGAGCCAGGGTGGCCCGGGGCCGCGGGGGCGCGTGAGGGACGCAGGTGGCTGAGGCTCTCCTTCCCCGCGGCCGAGCGCTCCGGACGCGGGCTGCGGGGAGACCCTCCCAGCAGGCCGGTTGGCTGACGAGTCCCCGGTGACTTCTCAGGGACGAGCTGCCTGTGCGGCTGCCGGGTGTTGTTTTGAGGTTCCCGATTGCGCCTGGAGGGCGGGGCGGAGCTGGGTCTCGCCGTGCTCAGTTGACGTGCGCCTGTCCTGGCCTGCCGGTCAGGGTCCCCTGGGCCTCGCTCGGGCTGGCTGGCGGAGGACACAGCCTGGGAGGAGACTCGTCCCCATCCTCCTTCCCCTCCTGGCTGGGCCCTCGCCAACATCGTCTTCTCTTTCTGATTCTAGCTCTCCTCGTGAGTGTGCGGTGGCGCCCCCTCCTGGTTTTGATTTGCTTGAGCCACCTGTTGATGTGCTTGTTGGCCATCTCTGTGTCTTTGGGGACACGCCCGTCCAAATCCTTAGTCTTTTTTTTTTTTTAACTGACAGGGTTTCGCTCTGTCATCCAGGCTGGAGTGCAGTGGTGCAGTCACAGCTCACAGCAGCCTCCAACTCCTGGGCCCCAGCGATCCTCCTGCCTCAGCCTCCCGGGCAGCTGGGACTACAGGCATGCACCACCATGCCCGGCTCATTTTTTTCTACACATTTTAGTTGCCAATTAATTTCTTTCTTTTTTTTTTTTTTATTGAGACAGAGTCTACTTGTTGCCCAGGCTAGAGTGGAGTGCCGTGGCGGTCAGCCTAGCTCACAGCAACTCAAACTCCGGGCTCAAGCGATCTCTGCTCAGCCTCCCGAGTAGCTGGGACTACAGCATGTGTCACCATGCCGCTAATTTTTTTTCATATATATTAGTTGGCCAATTAATTTTTCTATTTATAGTAGAGACGAGGTCTCACTCTTGCTCAGGCTGGTTTCGAACTCCTGACCTTGAGCAATCCGCCCGTCTCGGCCTCCCAGAGAGCTAGGATTACAGGCGTGGAGCCACCACGCCCGGCCAATTTCTTTCTATTTAAGTAGAGACGAGGTCTCGCTCTCGCTCAGGCTGGTTTTGAACTCCTGACCTTGAGCAATCCGCCTGCCTCGGCCTCCCAGAGTGCTGGGATGACAGGCTTTCTTTCTCTCTGCCTCCGTCCCGCCTTTTCCTTCTTTGCCGGAGCTCTGTGTGTTTCACGTGGCTCTCCCAGCCTCTCGGGCCACTCTGGAAGGGATAACCGTCGTGGTCTGGCACCAAGGCTGTGGGTCACGGACACGGCTCTGGCTGTCGCTGGCTGGCGGCTAATCGCCACGGCCCCAGACCCGGCCTCCCCGGAGCGGGGAGGGCTCTGGCCTCCTGGGCCCCCGAGACACGCAGCCCTAAGAGTTGGAGGGCGGGCAGGGCGAGGCCCTGCTTGGCTGCTCACACGGGGAGGAATGGGGTGCGCTGGGGTGTCTCTTGCCTCAGCCCTGCTGTGGTGTTTGCTTGGTCCTGGTGGGCCCGTGGCCGCTCGAGGTCATGCTTTGACCCGGCTCCCTGGGACAGGAAGGCCGTCCCGTCCCAGGCCAGGGCCCTCAGACCTCCCCTGCGTCCTGTAACGTTTCTGTAGGGAGCACTGTTAGCAGGATGAGCAGTTGTCTTTAAAAGAAGGGGCCCGTGCCCCGGCGTGCGCCCTGGTCCCCACGGTAGCAGGCCTCTAAACGAGCCGGTGGCCGGCCAAGATCCCCGGGGCACAGAAGGACGCCAGACAGGGAAGTCCTTGTTTGGATGAAACCGCGTGGGACACGCTCAGGCCTGGGCTCCCGGGGTCCCCCAGCGGGCTCAGCCCCGCTCTGGTGTTGGGGTGTCCTTCGCTCAGCTAACCTGTCCCTGCAGGAAGCTGTGCCAGCCGCAGAGCGCAGGTGGCCTCGCCGGAGACCCCACTGCCTCCAGCCCCCCGGACGAGCACGGGAGCTCGGCCTCGCCCCCTCAGGTGCGTGCGGCGGGCCTGGGCGGCGGGTGCAGGTGCTGGGGGGAGGGGAGGGTGTGGGGCACTCAGGCTGCTGCTCGGAGCCCTTCCCGGCTCCTCGCCCGCCTGCCCCTCTGAGTCTTGCCTGGGGACACCCTCGCCTGCCTTGGCCACAGGCCTGCAGGTCCCAGGCCCCTGGCGGGCACTCTGTGCATCACCTTTGTCACTTTGGTCCCCAGCTCCTCGGAGCACTCGCTGTACTGAGCCGCCCTGTCGGCCCCATGACCGAGGGGGTGGCTGCACTGGGGGCTGGGTCCTGCCCGGGGGCTATGGCACCCCGTGTCGCTCAAGGAGCACAGCCCAGGGACAGAGTGGCTTGGGCTTTCCCTGTGTCCCTCGGCCTCCCGGCCTCCCTCCCGTTCCCGTGACTCGGCTCGTCAGACCAGCTCTGGGTGGCTGATCACGGCAGAGCCCTCCTGCCCACGAGCTCGGCGCCGGGGCCTGGCTCTGCGTCCGGCCACCCCCGTGTGGCCGGAGTGGCCCTGCAGCTGGCACCGGGTCTCCTTGCGCAGGCTGGGACTTGCCCGGCCCGGCCACCCTCTGACCCGGTCTCCATCCTCCATCTGTCCCAGAAACGGCCGCAGCCTCCCGAGTTCATCGACCCCCTGGCCAGCAAGAAGCCCAGGATATCCCACTTCACCCAGAGAGCCCAGCCTGCCGCCGTCAACGGGAAGCTGGGCGTGCCCAACGGCCGCGAGGCCCTGCTGCCCACCCCGGGGCCGCCGGCCGCCTCGGACGTCCTCGGCTCCAGCACCCACCTGCCCCCACGGCTGGAGCCCCCGAGGGCCCACGACCCCCTGGCCGACGTCAGCAACGACCTGGGCCACAGCGGCCAGGACTGTGAGCGCGGGGACTCGGCTGCCCCCGGCCCCGCCACCGCGCACCCCGGCCTGCCCCTGCCCACGGACTGCGCCCAGCCCGGCAGGCCCCGCGGCAGCGCCTCGCGCAGCAAGTCCAGGAAGAAGTGCAAGAAGCACAAAGACAGGGAGCGGGCCGCTGGGGACAGGCACCAGGCCCAGCCGCCGGACCACCCGCCCGCCACGCACACAGCCCCACCGGATGCCCCGCCGGATGTCCCGCCAGATGCCCCGGGTAGGTGTGAGGCAGGAAGGCACCGCCCGTGCCACCCTCACTCGTGGGCCCAGGGCCTGCGGGAAGCTGTGGGGGTGGGGCTGCGCAGCCCGCACGCCCGGCCTGGGGACCCTGTGTCCCTGCACCCTGTGTCCTTGCACCCCATGTCCTTGCACTCCATGTCCTTGCACTCCATGTCCTTGCACCCCATATCCTTGCACCCCGTGTCCCTGCACCCTGTGTCCCTGCACCCCATGTCCTTGCACCCCGTCGTGTCTCTGTCTTCTGGAGTGTGAGCTCTGGCGACGTCCTGGTGCTCTGGGCCCCACGACGCTCGCACCGCGGGGTGCTGTCACCGTGTCAGGCCAGCACGGGGGTGACACGTACCAAGGGGGACAGACTCAGGCCGCAGTTCCAGCTACAAGGAGACCCTGGACGTCGGCGGGAGGGTGGTGGGGGAGCCAGCCCCACCGAGACGTGGGCGGGCGCGAGTGGACGGGTCTGCAGGGCGTGGGCAGCGCCAGGCCGCCCCTGGCCGTGCGCAGCCTGCTGGGGAGGGGAGGCTTCGGCCTGCAGGGAGGGGATGGGGGGAGCCAGGAGGACCGGGAGCCCCGGATGCCGGCAGCAGGTCTGGGTGTGGGGCCCGCAGCCTGTTCACCGGGCAGAGGACCGTCTGCGGGGGAGCGCGTGGTGGCTGCGGGCGTCCGGGCCGTGTCCTCCTCGGGGGGCTTCTCTGCGTCGGGGCGTCATCGGTCGGGGAGCCTGAGCCTCGGTAGCGGCGAGGCCCACGCAATTGCCGATTCGCACTGGTCAGCGTGAGGCAGCCGCGTGGGGCAGGGCCTCTGTCACCGTGGGCGATGGCGCGGGTCGCTGAGGGTGGCCCAGTCCATGTCGCCTGCTGCCCAGTCCAGACTGTCTCCCTGGGAGGACCGGGGAGGGCACTGCTGGGACTGGAGCGGGGCCTGTCTTCCGTCGGCCTGGTTGCGAGCTGCCCGCCCGCCCCCTGCCGAGCTCGGGTCTCCTTGGGTGGAGAGGAGGCGTCTCACGCCCGCTCGGGCCCATCCTGCCTCGCGAGTGGGCCCGTGGGCCGGGCGCGGGCGGCCCGTGGGGAGGGAGCGGCCCCTCGCACTGGGCCGGCCAGGGCAGGACACCCCACAGCCAGGCTGAGGCCAGCGTCTCTCAAGCGGCAGAGTGAGACCCGATACCCTGGCAGTGCCCTGGGCCGGGGACCGGGTTGGACCAAGGAAGGGACAGCTCAGGCTGGCACTGCGTGCAGGGTCAGAGGTGACTTCTGACGTGGCGTGCCGTGCCGGCCCCGAGGCCTGGGGCGGTCGGGGTGTTCCCAGCGGGCGCTGGGCGGGTTCCCCACAGCCGCTGCCCCAGCAGGAACCGACCTGGGAGGTCCCACAGGTACTGTGCTGAGCTTAGGCTGAGCCTCAGTTTTCCCATTCGTCACCCTCGCTGGTGAAGATCTTGGGATTAAATGAGGTGCTGCCAACCTGGCCCAGCACCCAGCAGAGACGCAGGGAGGCCCCCCCATGGGCCAGAGCCGGAGCCCAGCCGCCCCTCCCAGGGCCCTGGCCACACCCTCTCGAAGGCGACCCCAGTGGTGGTGGCCCCAATTCGAAGGCCAAGTGTGGCTCAGAGTGGGGTGCTGGAGCCTCGGGGTGTGCTCAGGCCATCGTGGGGACCCGACGCGCGGCAGCCCAGGTGCTGGGGGGGTTCTGCAGCCTGGAGGTTGCGGGTGGGCCGCTCCCCGCTGGCTGGGGCCTTTCTAGGGACGTGAAGTGTGTACCGAGAAGGCTGGTCAAGTGATGAGATCGTTTGGGTGTTGGAAGAAAGGCCTCGGGAAGGTGGCACAGGGAAAACACCCGGTCGTGGTTGCTGTCGGCTGAGGGCCGCTCCAGGCCAGGCTCCATGTGCCCTGAAGAGCTAAATGCTATCAAGAGTCGCATGTCAGCCGGGCACGGTGGCTCACACCTGTCATCCTAGCACTGTGGGAGGCCAAGGCGGGAGGACTGTGCAAGGCCAAAAATTTGAAACCAGCCTGAGCAAGTGAGACCCCGTCTCTACTAAAAAAAAAAGAAATTAATTGGCCAATTAAAAATATATAGGAATAATTAGCTGGGCATGGTGGCACATGCCTGAAGTACCAGCTACTTGGGAGGCTGAGGCAAGAGGATGGTTTGAGCCCAGGAGTCTGAGGTTGCTGTGAGCGAGGCTGACGCCACAGCACTCTATCCCGGGCAACAGAGTGAGACTCTGTCTCAAAAAAATAAAAAAAAATGTTGCACGTCCTCTAGGGCCACTGCTCCCGAGCCGCCATGCGAGCCGCCATGCGGGGCCTGCAGCCCGGGGTCTGGCAGGCAGGGGTGGGCCGGGCTCAGACCCAAGGCCAGAGGTGGGGACGCCCCAGGGACTTGGGTCGTGCCAGGAGTCATTTCTTTGCAGCCTGGTGACCTTTGACGTACAGTGGGGGGCGCGGCAGAAGGCTGCGGGTGCCGAGCTCCGGCAGGTTGCGCAGGCTTTGGCCCTGCAGTTAATGACGGCCAGGAACGCGCCCGGGCTCTGCACCCGCAGGGCTCCGGCCAGTGCACGCGGTGCGCGCCGCGCCCGGCTCGCCGCCAGGGGGCGCTGCTGGGTCCCGCGGACGGCCGCACACCCTCCCCCACCGTGTCCCTCCGTGTCCCTCCGTGTCCCTCGAATGGCCAGACGGCCCCGCCCCGCGGCTCCCGCAGGCCAGGGCCGGGCTCAGCAGGCGCGTCCTTCCCCGCAGGTGTGAACGGAACGTGCGGCGGCGCCAGCGCGCCCGCGCCGGAGACGCCGGAGACGCCCGAGACGCCCGACTACTTGCTGTGAGTCCTCGCGCCGCCCCGTCCCGGGCTCGCCCTGCGTCTGCGAGTGCGAACGGCCCGCGGCCGGCGCGGCGTCACCCTCCAGGCCGCCCTCTCCCCTCCGCAGGAAGTACGCGGCCATCTCGTCCTCGGAGCAGCGCCAGCGCTACAAGAACGACTTCAACGCCGAGTACAGCGAGTACCGCGACCTGCACGCCCGCATCGAGCGGATCACGCGCAGGTTCACGCAGCTCGACGCGCAGCTCAGGCAGCTGTCGCAGGGCTCCGAGGAATACGAGGTGGGCGTCCCCCGCCGCGCCGGCTCTGCGGGACTCGGAGTCCAGGACTCGGGCCTGGACGGCGCTCTGCCCCGCGCACATGCGGCTGTCCCGGGCTCCAGGCCCAGGGCTTCGCTCGGGCGACCCCGCTTGTCAGCCTCCTCCGCGGTGGGGACAGCCTCCTCAGGTGGGGGCTGCGTCGGGAGCCCCCCAACCCAGGACGCAGGGCTCCCTGCACCCACGTCGTGGGCCGGACTGCGGCAGACCCCCCACCGTCAGCCCCTCGGCGCGGCTGCAGCGGAGGGCGGTGGGAGGGCGCTGGGGGTCCCGGCGGTCCTCAGTACCAGGCTGGCCCTGGGCACGTGGCTCCCTGGGCCACCCTGTGGGAGGGGAGGGTTCCCGCCCTCAGCCACCAGTCGTCCCGATGCCACCCTTCGGAGCTGGGCCCTGACTCGTCCTGGGGTCTGTCTGCCTGGGGAGGCCTCTCTGGTTTGCAGAGGAGACCTCGTGGTTGGAGGGACCCTGGGGCATTCGGAGGGTCGGGACACGAGGAGCTTCTGGGGCGCCCTGTGCAGCCAGCCCCCCTGCCCCCACATGTGCAGCCTCCTGAGGCCCCAGCAGTCCCCACCTCCACCTGTCCCAGGCCTGTGGCCTCTGCCCCTCTCTCCTGCCCCCGCCACGTGGAGCCTGGCCACTGCTGGGGTGGGGTGCCCCTGTGTGGGGCCGCCTCGCCCCACGCCTCCTCTGCCACCAGGGAGAAAGGGCCGCTCCACTTGGGTTTCCCACGGGAAGGGGCGTCATTTATTTCTCTCGTTCTCCCTGCAGACCACGCGTGGGCAGATTTTGCAGGAGTATCGGAAAATCAAGAAGGTGAGTCTCCGCCGTGTGGCAGGCTCGGGCGCGTTGGAAGCGGCCGGTTCAGAGGGAGCCTGGGGGGGAGAGCGGGGTCCCTGGTGGGCCTCAGCGGCCTCCCGGTCCTGCCTTTCACGGGCACCGGCCCGGCCGTGGGTGAGCCTGGGCAGGGCCTCGCTGGCACCACGTCCCCAGCGGCTGGCACAGCCCCCGCCCTGTCCGCCCCGCGGGGCGTGGGAGCAGCCCGTGGGCCCCAGACAACCGAGCCGGCGTGCGGGGGCCAGAACCCTGGGCACCCGGCCCAGCGCGGAGGTTCCGGGCGAGGGCGGTCACTGGGGGCTGGGGGCGGCGGGCCGTGCCGGGCGGAGCCTGACGCGGCCCGGCTGTCGCAGACCAACACCAACTACAGCGAGGAGAAGCGCCGCTGCGAGTACCTGCACAGCAAGCTGGCGCACATCAAGCGGCTCATCGCCGAGTACGACCAGCGGCAGCCGCAGGCCTGGCCCTAGCCGCCGCCCTCCCCTGGCCCGCCGGCGGCGGCGCTGCGGCTGCGGGCGGGGGGCGGACGAGGATTCACCCAAAACAATAAACGTGAGGAAGACACACGCATCTGAGCCAGCCCCGCCGGCGTCCGGGGGCGCCCGCAGACCTGTGGCCCAGGGGCGCCTGGCGCCACCCGCCCGGCCGGCCGGCCGACGGCTCCCGAAGGCACCTCGCGCGCCGCGGCCGGCCGCCGACGGGTCCCGAAGGCACCTCCGCGCCGCGGCCCGGCCCGGCGCGCGTTCCTCGCAGCGGAAGACGAGGCCCTCCGCGGCCTCGCCCGCCTGCCTTTTCTAGTTTTATACAAAGACGGCCACTTTAGCCACACCAGTGAGACTTGAGTCTATTTTTGTACGAAAAAGAAAGCAAAATCTCTTTTTCTAAAGCTGTGCCTCCCTTCCCTTGGATGCCCAGGGTCTTTTCTGCAGTATTACGGGAGCTGCCGCCGTCGGGCTCCGCGCCCTCCCGCCCGGGCAGGGTCTCTGCCGAGCGGAGGGGAGGCCCCGGGGCTGCCGGGGCGCGCGCGGCGGCACATTTTCCTCCTCGCTGTCCTCGGTCTCCCCTTTGCTGCTGCTGTCCTGTCTCCCGCCGCGGAGGCCACGCGCGGGCCCCGGGCTGTGCCGGCAGAGCCGCCGCCGAGGTTTGCACTCAGGGAGGCCCCGCGCGGAGCAGGGGAGCCGCGAGGGGGTCTGCCCGCGCTGGGGGCGCCGCCCCGGTTGCTGCTGCGCCGCTGTGCCTGGCGGCCCGGAGCCCCGCGGCGTGTGCGCCCACGCGGGCCGCGGAGCCCGACTCGGGGAGGAGGTGGGGGTGGCCGTGACCTGGGGCCCGGGGCGCTGCCGCCAGCCGCGGGCAGGGAGGGCGCCAGTGCGCAAGTGCAGAGATGTCTATTTTCGTAAGCGCGGGCGCCTCCCGATGGCTTCCAAAGAGCTGGCGCCGCCTGGAGGTGCCTTGCAGTGCGTCCCCTCCCCAAGCCCCTTTCCTTTGGGACCGGCTTCCCAGAGCCGAGGGGACCCACCCTTCATGTTTCAGTAGCTGTGTTGTTTTGTTTCCTTTCGGGACGAGCAGGCTGCGGCCCGGCCCCGACCGGTCACGCAGGAGGGTCTGAGGCCGTCCCAGCCTGGGGCGCCAGCTGTCCTGGGAACCCGCTCGAGGGACTTTCAGTCGCATTTGCCCTTTTGTTGTTGTTTGTTCTCCTTTTAAGGAATTATGAAGCTAAGGAAAGTTTTGTGTTTGGGGGGTTGGTGGAGAAAGTTTAGCTGATGAAATATGGTCTTAACTTATTGATACTTTTCCTCCCCCTTTAATGTTGTACTGTGGAGAAAAACTATTTGAGCCATGGAGTTGGTGTTTACAAGAACTTTTCACTTTTGCCAAAATGTTACAATCGAAAGGCATCCGCGTCTTCAGTTTGCTAATATTTTCTTAAAAGATCCAGTGTCCTTTTTGTACACTAAACAGGTGAATGCTGGTTTTTTTCAACCTACAATAAATTTCACTCGACTGCATCGGCAGCCGGGGCTGCCTGGCTGGCGTGTCGTGTCACAGCTGAGTTTCCGTGTGGTCCCGTGGGCGGGGCGGCTGCCGGGGGGAGGCCGAGTGGGGGCTCTGGTGTGGGCCGGGCGAGAAATCGTCCTTCCCAGCCCCCCGGCCATCACCCCAGAATGAGAACCCCGGCAGGGTCCACAGGCAGCCTGGCCGGGAGCAGGAGGAGACTGGGGTGATGGGGAGCCATAGCAGGTGCCGCAGGCCCCGAGCGGACAGGTGGGCCGAGCCCGGCGGGGTCAGCTCTCGGCCACCTCCGCACACAGCCCACAGGGGCAGGGCCAGGAGCAGCGACTGTTTGGGGGAGACAGCGGCAGGTGCCGGCGAGGTCTTATCGCCGTCCCTGTCCCGAGCTCCAAGGGAGGGCTGGAGGACGCAGAGCCATGGTCCTGCCCTCCAGGGTCAAGGTGGGGGCGGGCACGGCGGAGCGAGAAGGGTCGCTGGGGTGGGCGGCTGTGGGTCCCGGCCTCCCCGAGGGCCAGTGGCCTTGGCCTGGGTCCGAGGTGGCCCGAGGGCCGCAGGCAGAGTGTGCCCTGCCCCCGCATGGCCTGGCCAACATCTCTGTCCTCAAGGCCCAGGGCGACACCTGCCGCCGCCTCCTTGCCGCCCTGCCCTGCCCAGCGGCCTCCCCCGCCACCCTTCCTGAGGCACGGGTGCCACCGGTCTAGCCCGCTGGGACCCAGAAGGGTCTTCCCACCCCAGGGCACCGTGGCGCGCGGGGGCTACAGGCTGCCGCCCACTCTTGCCGCCTGCAGGGTGGTGTCCCCAGCTGCTCTTCCTGCGGGCGCCCCTCTTCCCTCGGCCCCTCTGCGTGCCGGCTCCGGGGCGCAGTAGCAACTGGGCGCCCAAAGGCCGGTGCCTGTCCTCAGCGCCCAGCCCGGCGGCACCCCTGGCCCTGGCTGGTTCCCCGGCCCTGGGCCTTGCCAGCTGCGCCCCCTGCAGTCACCTGGCCACAAGGGCTGCTGGGAGTGGACGCAGCACGGCCGGAGCCGCCTCCCGCCCCCCCGGCCTCCTGCTGGCGCTGCCCACGGCGGCCCTGCGCGTGAGCGCGGCCTCCCCCGCCGACCTGCACACATTCCTGTGTCACGCGTTGCCCCGGGTACAGGCTGCCTCTGACCCTGCAGCGCTCTGCCCAGAGATAGCATCGGACGCCACAGGCCAGTCCCACAGGAGATCCCCGCCCCCACTCCCCCGCCCCCCACCGCCCCTGTAAATCGGGGGTCCCCCACCACCCCATCTCAGCTCTGACGACTCGCTAGCTCAGGAAAATGCTGACGCCGGCGGCGGAGACACGCGTGTGGCCCCTCCCAGGCCTGTGGAGGGTTTGCAACAAAAGGTTTTGGAGGCGGACAAAGCCCTGGGCCCGAGTGACCCTCTCACCTCGGCCTCCCAGGGAGCCGGGCGGCAGGCCTGCGCCACGCTCGGCTTGTCGGGGGCTTCTATGGGGACGTGCGGCACCTTTTTCCCGCCCACGAGGGTCCCCGTGGACACTCCTGTAACAAAAGACAAGTTGTGGAGAGCAGGGCGCACGACAGATGTGCTTAATCCAAGTTTTTCTTGATGGGCGCCTTCAGGAAGGAAGACCCAGGGAAACCTTTTCCTGCCCCGGCTCCACGGAGAACGTGCGGGCGTGTGACTGGACGGAAGCGCCCGGTCTCAGGGACCTTCGGCCCGCCCGGGTGGGACCCGGCGCGGCGTCTGCTCAGACTTCCCGGCTCCCCCAGTAGCATTCCTTCCTCCAGGGTATGGGGCAGAGCCCTTATGGAATGAGGGTCTTCCAGGGACAAGGCTCCGGTTTCCACCGTCCGCCTTGGGGACCAGGAATTCTGGTTTCCGTGACTCGCTTCTGGGCGGATGAGGGGTGTGAGAGAGGCCTAACAGGGCAAGGTCACGGAGACCTTGCTCTCGCGGCCTTCCAGCTTGCTTTGGGTCCAAGCGCTCAGCCCGCCAAAGGCCACACCCGGGGGGATCAAATCAGTGGCTGCTGGCTGCTAGACTCAAATCTCCAGGCCCACCAGGGAGAAAGACCAATGGTGTATATGTCACACACCCAGCCCTGAGGGTCTGCCCCCGTCCCCAAACCTGGTCACCTTTGCCTCTGCCCTCTCTGGGCAGCTCAGGTGGCCCAGCCTGTCATTTCCTCTCAGTGAACTCTTCGCGTCTCAACACCCTTTCCAGCCCGCCAGTGAGTTCGCTCCGGCTGCCGGGGTGGGGGCGGAGGTTGGGGTTGGGGGGCGCCCAGCCCACCTCCAACTCCCTCAGACTGGGGCCCCTTCAGGGCGAGGCCTGGAGCCAGAGCCTCGGAGCCCCCCTTCCCCGAGGTCAGGCCCCGGCGGACTCCTGCAGGCCTTCCCAGCCGTCCACCTTTGGGGCCAGCTGCAGTGGTGGAAACTTTCCGCGGCTTGTTTTGGAAAGTTCCTGGCGGCGCTGCCCCCGCCCGCCGCCGGGTTCCCACGCTCCCTCATCGCTTATCGCAGCGTGAGGGGCGCCGTGCTGTGCCTGGCCTCGTTCCTGTCCTTCCCAGCTGGGCGCGGCCCTCCCTCGCCAGCCACCCCCGCGAGCCCTCCCGCTGCAGGTGGGCAGTCGGGCCACGCAGGCCCCATCCACGGAGTCCGCTCCGGAGACAGAGTGACTGTCCAGCCGGAGACGGGAAGGGGACAGGGGAGCCTGGCGGGTACAGTGAGTAGGGACACCCTGGGTGGGAGGGAATTTGGGCTTTGAGGTCCGAGTCCGGGCTGGTCCTCTGCCTCAGTTTCCCCTCCGGTGTCTTGGGCCCTGAGACACCCCCCCCCCCCCCCCAGCTCCACCCTGGCCTGGCGCTCATTTGCACCCTCCTCATCCTCTTTTGTAAAATGGGAATAGGCGGCCGCGCGCCCCAGGGGTTGCAGGGCGAGGTGAGCCGCTGCACGCCGCGCTGTGCCCGCTAGGCGGGGACCCAGGGGCCACTGTGGCTCGGGAAAGTCGGGGCCGAACCCCAGGCCCCGGACGTCGCGCCCTGCCCCCTCCCCGGCGCGGCGGGGGCGGGCGGGGGCGGGGCATGGCGGGGGCGTGGCTGCGGGGCTTTTCTCCCGAGCCCGCGCGCAGCAGAGCCCGCGCCGCCCGCCGCTGCCGAGCCGACTGCGCGCCGGTGAGTGCGGTCCCGGGGATCGGGCTGCGGGTCCCCCCGGCGCCCAGGCCGGCCTGTCCCGGCCGCTCAGTGTCCCTGCCGACCCCGCGTCCCCCAGCCCGCCGCGATGGAGGCCGCCGCCCAGTTCTTGGTGGAGAGCCCGGACGTGGTCTACGGCCCTGAGGCCATCGAGGCGCGGTACGAGTACCGGACGACGCGCGTCAGCCGCGAGGGCGGCGCCCTCAAGGTGGGCGAGGGGCCGGGACGCGTGGGGACGGGGGGTGCCGGGGAGCCCGGGGTTGTGCTGGTTGCCCGATCTCTCCAACCCCGTCCTGCAAAGAGGGCACAGGGGACGGTCCGGGGCTCATTCCGCTGCCCGCCTCCAGGTGCACCCTACGTCCACGCGCTTCACCTTCCGGACCGCCCGCCAGGTGCCCCGGCTCGGGGTCATGCTGGTCGGTTGGGGCGGGAACAACGGCTCCACGCTCACCGCGGCCGTGCTGGCCAACCGGCTGCGCCTGTCCTGGCCCACGCGCGCGGGCCGCAAGGTGGGGGCGGCGGGGCCCCAGGAGGCGGGGCCCGGCTGCGGGCGGGCTCGGAGGCGGGGTTTCCACGAGGTGGGGGTCCGCGGGGGCGGAGCCTAAGGTGCCCGGGGACTCGGCGGGAGGTTTCCGCCCTCGCGCGGAGCCCGGAACCGAAAGCGCCCGACGGCGGGGCGGAGCTTGGCGGTCTGCGCGGGGCCCCGGGCGGGTGTTTGACCCCCGCGCCCCTCCCGCCGTCACCCCGCAGGAGGCCAACTACTACGGCTCGCTGACTCAGGCGGGCACCGTGAGCTTGGGCCTGGATGCCGAAGGCCAGGAAGTGTTCGTGCCCTTCAACGCGCTGCTGCCCATGGTGGCACCCAACGACCTGGTGTTCGATGGTGGGCGGAGCCCTGGGCCGGGAGGCGGGGCGGGCGCGGGGAATGGAGGGCGCCGAGCCCGGGCGGGGCCGAGCGTGAGGATGCCCCGCAGGCTGGGACATATCGTCGCTGAACCTGGCCGAGGCGATGCGGCGCGCGCAGGTGCTGGACTGGGGGCTGCAGGAGCAGCTGTGGCCGCACATGGAGGGCCTGCGCCCGCGGCCCTCGGTCTACATCCCGGAGTTCATCGCGTCCAACCAGAGCGCGCGCGCGGACAACCTCATCCCCGGCACGCGCGCGCAGCAGGTGCCGCCCCGTCCCGCCTCCGGCTCCCCCCCCTTTCGCCTCCAGTTCCCCCACTTCTGCCCCGTCACGCGAGTCCAGGCCCCACTTGGCACTAGCAGAACTGGGTGGCCCAGGCCTCCGTCGGCCGCGGGACCTGTACGACCTCCCCGTCCCCCGCCCCCAGCTGGAGCAGATCCGCAGGGACATCCGAGACTTCCGGTCTAGCGCGGAGCTGGACAAGGTCATCGTCCTGTGGACGGCGAACACGGAGCGCTTCTGCGACGTGGTTCCGGGCCTCAACGACACGGCCGAGAACCTGCTGCGCACCATCGAGGTAGGCGCGCCCCAGGGACAGTGGGGTCAGGTCCGGCCCCAGAGACCCGTCTGCGCTGACTGCCCGGCCGCCCCCACAGCTAGGCCTGGAGGTGTCCCCGTCTACGCTCTTCGCCGTGGCCAGCATCCTGGAGGGCTGTGCCTTCCTCAACGGGTCCCCGCAGAACACGCTGGTGCCCGGGGCGCTGGAGCTGGCCTGGCAGCGCCGCGTCTTCGTGGGCGGAGATGACTTCAAGTCGGGCCAGACCAAGGTCAAGTCCGTGCTCGTGGACTTCCTCATCAGCTCTGGCCTCAAGGTGTGTGGCCTTAGGTGCAGGTAGGGGACCTGGACTCCAAGCACCCGGCTCGTGTGCCACGGGGCGGGGGGCCACTGTCGTGTCATTTGCACCCGCAGACCATGTCCATCGTGAGTTACAACCACCTGGGCAACAACGACGGGCGGAACCTGTCGGCGCCGCAGCAGTTCCGCTCCAAGGAGGTGTCCAAGAGCAGCGTGGTGGACGACATGGTGCACAGCAACCCGGTGCTCTACGCGCCCGGCGAGAAGCCCGACCACTGCGTGCGTGGGGGGCGGGCGTGGGCTGGGGGCACCCGACGGGGGAGGGAGGGGGTGGCGGGGACCCGTGCGACCTTGTGCCGCACCCCAGGTGGTCATCAAGTACGTGCCCTACGTGGGCGACAGCAAGCGCGCGCTGGATGAGTACACGTCGGAGCTGATGCTGGGCGGAACCAACACGCTGGTGCTGCACAACACGTGCGAGGTGCGGTGGCCCGCGCGGCCTGGGGAGGGGGGCGGGGGGCGGGCTGCCCCTCCCCCCTCGCGTCCTGACCCGCCTCCCCCCAGGACTCCCTGCTGGCCGCGCCCATCATGCTGGACCTGGCGCTGCTGACGGAGCTGTGCCAGCGCGTGAGCTTCTGCACCGACGACGACCCGGAGCCGCAGACCTTCCACCCGGTGCTGTCGCTGCTCAGCTTCCTCTTCAAGGCGCCGCTCGTGCCGCCCGGCAGCCCCGTGGTCAACGCGCTCTTTCGGCAGCGCAGCTGCATCGAGAACATCCTCAGGTGCGCGCGCGGCCTCCTCGGCGCCGTCGGGCGGGCCCCTGGCGGGGCGGGGGGCCTAGCCTTGCTGAGCTCCCGCTGTCCCCCCAGGGCCTGCGTGGGGCTGCCGCCACAGAGCCACATGCTGCTGGAGCACAAGATGGAGCGCCCAGGCCCGCGCCTCCAGCCGGCCGTGCCCGGCGCCTGCGCCTGCGCCGCGCCGCCCAAGAAAGGGCCGGCGCTCACTGCCCCCGACGGCTGCACGGGCGACGCCAACGGGCACCCGCAGGCGCAGGGACCGCAGACGCCCCCCACCTGAGGCCGTGGGCGCGCAGCCCACCGGGCTTCCTTCCCGTTGCACCCCCGAACCCACCCGCTTCGGGCCCCCAAATACAATAAAGCCGCTGCCCCCACCCGCTCACTTGCACCTGTGCGTTCTTGGGGCCTGTGACCCTGACGCGCCTCGGTCCGCCGCCCCCAGCCCCGAGCCTCCAGACGGGACCTCAGCCCCCCTCAAAGCCTTTACCCCAATCCCAGGGACCTCAGCGCATCGCCGCCCTTGAGGGCGGGACTCGAGTGCGGGGACAGGGACCGCAGGCCAAAGTGAGGGAGTCTGAGACCCGCTACCAAAACCCAAAACCAAGTGACATTTATTGACGCTGTCCTGGAAAGAGGCCCCCAGCCCCTCCCCCCTAACAAAATGCAAACGGCGGGAAAGGCCCACGCAGGAAAGAACGTCTCTGAGGTCCTTGCGTTTTTGTTTCTTATAAAATGAGAAAGTCTTTCGTGCGGGCCCTCCCGGCCAGGCAAGCCTCGTTTGGCCGTCCGCGGCCCGGGGCGCTCAGTGCCGCGAGAGCGGCGCGGCAGAAGCCAGGCGGCAGGCCGGCCGGTCACACGCTCCGCATCCGGGGCGAGTACTGCGGAGGGGCGGGCGGCACGGTCAGCTGCGGACAGGTGACCCGCCCGGACAAGGACAGGGCATGGCAGGCGGAGAACAGGAGGACGGAGTGAGCGGAGGCGTGCCGAGAGCCCTGGTCGGCGGCGGCGTGGGCTGCGGATGGAGGGAGGCGGACGGGAGAGGTGCCGGCGGGCCCGCCCCCACTGGCCCGCGCGGTCACGGTCTTGCTTCTGGCCCCGCCGCCCGCGGCCTGCCGCAGGCCCTCCGGCCCAGACGCCGCGGGGGGGGAGTCGACGCAGTCGCTTACGCTTTCGCTCGGGAACGGGTGCAGGAAGGTTCCGGCGGCCGCCATCTCGCCGTCGTCCCGCGGGGTGCCCGGGGCGTTGCTCAGGCCGCCAGCTGGGGAGGAGCTCTTGGTGCCGCGGTCAGCGGCGGACTTCTGGCCCCGCCCGCCCGCGCCCCCCACCCGCGCCGGCCTCCGGCCGCGCAGCCCTACTTCGGCATCCCGTCCATGTTCGCCCGAGCCTGCGGACCGACAGACCACGGACACCGGCTCAGGCGCGCGCGCCGGCGCCCCGCCGCGCCCTGCGCCTCCGCCCCCGGCGCGCCACGGGGAGGCCCGGATGGAAGGTCAGCGGCCTCGTCGCCGGACGCCCCCTCGGCGCAACCCGCGTCGCCCGGCGCCTCGAGGCTGGAGGCCGCGGGGCGCAGGCGCGGGGCGCCCACTCACCCAGGGATCCGTTCACGTGCTGCGGCTCCATCGTGCGGCCAACGCGAGCATCGGCATCGGCGCCAGCCGCGAATGCGGCACAGGGGCGGCGTGGGACCCGGGCCGCTGGCCGCACCGCCCGGGAAGCACCCCGCAACCCCACTCACGTTGGCCCTGCCGGCGCCCGGCCCGACGGGGTTCATGACGGCGTACATGCTTTCGCTGGAGTTGGTGGAGTCTGCGGAGACAGGGGTGTGAGGGGCTCCCCCGCACGCACCACACCGCCCCCGCCCTGCCCACAGGCCGCACCTCCGGGGCTAGGCATGATGGGAGTTCCGGGGGGGCCGCCGCCTCCGGGGGGTCCCTGCACACGGAGGGAGACGGGAGGTGAGACGGGCACCGCATCCGCCACCCCACATCCGCCACCCCGCAGCCCGTGCCCAGAGGCCACCCGGCCTCGCCCGACTCACCGTGTAGCCGCCAGGGGACGAGGAGGAGTAGGTGATCTGGGGACAGGGGAGGCCGTCAGTCAGCAGGCCGCCGGCTCGCCCGGGACCCCGCGCCCCGCCCCCAGCCTGGGACTCACCGAGTTGCCACTGGGGCTGGCCCAGGGGCCGCGCACTCCAGGGCCCCTGGAAGAGAGGGGCGGCGGTGGGAGCCTGGCCTAGAGCTCGCAGTCCTGCCCATGCCCGACACCCCTCCCCACCCCAGGCCACGAGCAGCGCATGGCGCCTGAGGCAGGGTCACCCTGGGCTGCCGGGGTTCAAGTCCCAACTCAATAGCCCTTTGGCCATGAGGGACTGATGGCTACTGTAGGCCTCAGTCTGCCCAGCCAACAGTGACAGTGAAATAAACAACACCCAGGGCTGCCTGGGGACTCGGCCGCCCGGCAGGACCTGCCCACGAGGCGGGGTGCTGGCCTGCGCGGGGGACACACTCCTGGGGTCCCCGGGGCCTTACATGGTCATGGCGGGCAGGCCCGGACCGGCCAGGGAGGTGGGTGGGGGCCGCATGCCCCCGCCGTAGCTCTGTGGAGGCAAAGGTGCTGTGAGGGGACAGGCACAGCCCCCCACCCCTCCACCCCCGGGGCGGGGGCCCAGCCCTTACCTGGGGTCCCACGCCGGCCATGCCTCGTGGGGGCGTCACCCTCTGCATCGGGCCGCCCATGCTGGGGTGCCCTGGGGTGGAGGCAGAAGGACAGGCTCAGACCGGGGCCACTGCCCAGCGTGGACACGGCGCTCAGGCTGCAAGGGCGGGGCAGAGCGGGGTCCCGGCTTGGGGGGGGCACAGCAGCTAGAGGTCCCCTACTCACCCTGCGCACGCGGGGAGGGGTCCATGGTGGCAGGCAGGAGGGGCTGGGAGCCGGGGAGGCCCACAGGAGGCTGCAGAGGGGTGCGGTGGCACTAAGTGTGGGGTGCCCCCCCCAGCTCCTGCCCCCCTCCCCTCGTCCCTCTCACCTGGCTCGGCATCCGCAGGGTGGGCCGGGGGCCCCCTGGGAACCTCGGTGACATGAAGGGCTGGAAGAGGTGGGCGGGGGTCAGCACCTGCCTCCGGCCCCCAAAGACACCCCATTCCTACTGTGCCTGGGGGGCCCCAGCCTGGACCGCCCCTCCCCCAGAGGTCCTGGGGGGTGCGTGTGTGCATGGGGCGGGCGCCACAGGTCCTTACCTGGCCGTGAGGCCCCATCATGGGGGCGTTGGGGTTGTGGGGGGGCGGCGGGGGGGGGGCCTAGGACAGAACCAGGCAGGTCAGGGACAGCGAGGCCATCAGAAGCCCTGCTGTTCCCTGTGGCCCTGCCGGGCCTGGCCACAGAAGGGGAGGGGCAGAGGGTGGCCGGGCTATGGGACAGGGAGCCCTGCAGGGAGGGGCTGGGGCAGGACTAAGGGCAGCAGCAGTCACCAGGACCACAGCGGCCACTGCATCCACGCGCTCCTGACACGCCCACGTCCAGGCCGCCCCCCCCCCAGCACTCGGCCCCTCCCGAGCCAAGGGGACCCGCCGGCGGTGACCGCTCCAGTGCGGGGCCCACCCACAGATGCACGTCCACCCGGCACTGGGGGCGAGGGGTCCCAGCCCTGGCTGTACCTGGAAGAAGCCGGCCGCCATGGGGCCTGCAGCCATGGCGTCGCTGGGGGCCATGCTTGCCAGGACGGGGCTGGGCGCGGCCGCGGCGCCCTGTAGCAGTGGGGACACAGAGGGCCCAGTCAGGACACGTCCTCCCTGGGTGTTGCCCTCTCTCTCTGCAGGGGCCAGCCCCAGAGGACAGGGGTCCCCGCCCCCGCCCCCCCAGTTAGGCTGCCCTGACAGGCCTCCCACCACGCCAGCTGGCGGTCCCAGAGGCCCCAGTGGCCGGCTGGCGGTCCCAGCCGCGAGCAGCGCCCGGCCTGGGGGGGGGGCAGAGGTGTGAATGGCCCAGGACCCCAGCAGCCCCGAGGCCAGTTCCCAATGGGGGTCCCTCCTCAGCCCACCCCAACTGGGCCCATGTCTCCTGGGTGCCCGGATCTACCCAACACCCCAAATAAACACCCCCGAAATTCCACCAGCAGTTCCAAAATGAACCTCCCTGAAGACCCCCGGAGCGCTCCTGTGCAGACCCCTGCCCCTCCCCCAGGAGGCAGGGAGAGGAGCAGCAGGAGCTGGGGGTCCCCCCAGGCCCCCAACCCCTCTCAGGTGGAGAAGACCGGGCGCTAAGGGGGGTCCCGTGTCTGCCAAGGGTGGAGGTCCTGGTGGCAGGGGCAGGCTGGCGGGCCCCTTCTGCTGGTTCCAAGTCCCAGAACTGCCTGCCTGTGGGCGCAGGGCCAGGCGGGGTGTGCGGAGGGCCCATCTCAGAGAGGGAGGCGGGAGGAGCACCCTGGTCTGCCTGCAGCCCCCCAACAGGCCCTGAACCCCGAGAGGAAGGGGCCGGCCCGGGCAGGCACACAGGAACTGCAGTGACAGTGTTCCCCAAGCCACTAGGACGGGAAAGGGCACCTTGGAGACCCCCTCCCCGCAGTCCCAAACTGCCAGGTCCCCTCTGGGCTCTGCCCCCCACCACCCACCCCGCCATGGACACCATGGCCTGGAGCGGCGGGTCCCAGGCTGCCCCTGGGCTCCGGCCCGTCCACTCTGCAGGTGCAGCCGGGCGCTGTGCCCCGGGGCAGGAGGGCGCCCCCCCAGCCCCCCAGCTCCAGGCCCTGAGGGGTTCATCCTGGGCTGGCGCGGCCTCCCTGGCCAGCGGCTCTGCGGACCTGTCAGTCATCCCCGAAGAGGCGCAGGCCCCGCTGTTGCCATGACGACGGGCTGGGTGCCTCCGCGTTTCCTAGAGACGCCGAGGTCGGCAGGAGACCCCCAACTCGGAGGGCCGCGGAAGGGCCCCCCACCCCCGTGGAATGCGTGCCCCCAGTTGGCCTGGCAAGACAGGTGCCCGGATTCCCTTCGTGGCCACCTCCTGCTGTGCCCAGCAGTCTCCTGACGCCCTGCGCTGCCATGGTAACCGGCTCCGGGCAGGGAAGCGTCCTCCCGGTTGTGGCCGCAGCCGCTCTGCCCTCCCCACGGCGTGGGGCGACGGGGTGGGCAGAGTCCAGGGGACCCCACAGAGCACGGGGGGGGGGGCTGGGGCGAGTCGCCGGGTGAGCACACAGCGGCCATCGGGGAGGAGGGGACTGCATGGGGACGCCGCGCACACGCAGTGAAGCCAAGGGCGTCGGCCTGGCGTGCCCGCCACCGAGCTCCGACAGAGACAGGGCGGCGGGGCTGGCCCCGCCACGGGCAGCTGGCCCCGAGTCCCGCTCAGGCCTGCTCTGAGGGACTGGGTGGACGAGGGGAGGGGACGCCGCCCGCCACCCGTGACGACATGCCACCCCCAGCTCCTCTCCAGACAGACCTCTGACCCCTTTCAACCCAGGGGGAAACTGAGGACAGAGGGGTGGAGCCAGCAAAGATCAGGAAGTCCCCAGCACTGGCCTCAGCGTCCCCCCCAGGCCCAGTGGAGGGAGCCTGCCCCTTGCTGAGTGACCCCGGACCAAGGCATGGCCGCAGGGTCCCCATTAGCGGCCAAGATCCCAAGTGGCAGCCTGCAGCCCGCCTGCCCACCCCGGTGCCCCTCGGGCCATGCGGGCCCCGCCCCCCACCCCACCCCCCAAGGCCACAGGCTGGGCCCACCTGGCCCACGCTCCAGCCCGGTCCCCGCGGGTGGGACTCACGTAGTCCTGGAAGGCCTTGGGCTCGCCTGAGTGCTCGCAAGCCTCCCTGCGGTCAGGCGCTGCGCAGTATAGGTCCCAGAACACGCTGCGGGTGGCAGGGGCGACGGTCACTCCGCGGCCCCCCACCCCCGCCCGCCCTCCACCCTGCCTGGGCTGCGGCAGCCCTGCACGCACCACCACCAGGAGTGCAGGAAGCCGGGCGGCTCCCCCAGCGTGATGTTCTTCTCCCATCGGATCTGCGGGGAGACGGATGGGCGTGACGTCAGGGCCCCCCCCACCGCCCAGCACGGCGCCCCGAGAACACGGGGACCGGGAGGGGGGCGTCCTGGGAGGCAGGAGGGCGGCCGGGTGAGCCGAGGCAGACAGATGCCTGGCAGCCAGCCCGCCTGCGGGCCCTGACCCCGTCCCAGGCCTCGGTTCTCAGAGCGGCAGTGGGGCCACCCCGACCGCCACCTGGAACCCCGTGGGACAGGGAGGCCCCTGGCGGGCACGGGGCAGCTGCTTACCTCGGACAGGAACGTCTGGGCGGACTTCTGGGCGCCCACGTGCAGCAGGTACTCGTAGACGTACAGCGCCAGCCTGCAGGGGTGAGGCGGGCGGGCGGCTCAGGCTCTGGGGTTCCGGAGCCCCTCCCTGGCTCCCAGCTGTGCGTGTGCAGGTGACAAGGAGGACACGGCCTCCCCACCACCTGCTCAGCCTGGACAACTCCTACTCATATGTCAACACCCAGCCTGCAGGCCCCTCCCAGGTACCCCCGACCCCCGAAACTCTAAGCCGGGTTCTGAGCCATTCAAGCACCCCTCTGGGCATGGAGGCCCGGCCCCGGCCCACCAACGCTGACACCAGAGCCACCCCAGCCCCGGGGAGGTTCTTCTGCCCCGAGTTAGGGTGTCGCTCTAGGTGGGGCAGCAGGCGGGGACTCCCACTGTGCCCCGGGCCCCCACCTAGCCTGTTCCCAGCCTTGCCTGCGGAGGGGGAAGGGAAGGGCCCCCTCCCTCCCAGCCCCCACTCCCTGGCGTCCCCAGGCCCCACCCGCCAGTGGCCGCCACGCCGCTCTGGCAGACCCCAGCAGGGCAGTGCTAACCCAGAGGAGTCTGGGGACGGAGGTGGGGGTGCCACACGTCTGCCATGGCACCACCCCGCCCAAACGCCCACAGTGCCCCGTGAGCCCCCAGCCTGCCCAGGACTCCCGGACTTGCCTCCCCAGCAACTGCCCACCTCAAGAGCACAGGCCGGACCATGCACCCCGCTCCAGTCCACCTGCCACACCAGGTGACCAGGGGGACAAAGCCCCACCCCCCCAGGTCACCTAACCCCCTGGCACCAGCACCTCCCAAATCCCTGGACCTGAGCCTCACCCTCTGGGTGCCCCCGTCCTGCTACTGCCCAGTGCGCTGTGGGGGGAGGTGGTCCTGGACCCGGGGCTCCCCACGGACCCGCCTGGGGCTCAGCCCCACACGCCTGCAGCTCAGTGGGCGCCACCTCCCCTGGCCGCGGCCTCATCCCAAAATAACCTTCCTTGACTCACGCTCCCTCCCAGCCCGGCTCCGTGCGCCCCGGCAGCCCCAGCCCCCCACGCCTTTGCCCCAGATGCCCCTCTGGACCACATTCTCCCAGGGACAGGGTGAGCCACGTGCCACAGAGGCCTTCAGGTGCGGACCCCCACCAGGTGCGGACCCCCAAGCGGAAGGCGGCTGTGAGGGGCAGGGCGGGGCAGGACACGCAGTTCCCAGTGTGGCCTCAGCCCCCGGGACAGGCCTCGGTCGCCGCCGCGTCACCCCGCTCTCGGGCGCACCCCCGGCCCAGGGCCCCCAGCTCAGACTCGGCCCCCCTTGCGCTCTGCCTGCGCCTCCTTAGCCCTCGGCCTCCGGACCCAGCTCGCGTCTGAGACTTCCCTTTCCAGAGGCTTCCCCAGCTCACCGGGGGCCAGCGGGCCCGTGGCCGCCAGTGGATGACGGGCACCGAGGGCCAGACGGGGACTGAGGAGCCCCCGGGGCGGCCCTCCCGCTAGAAGGGGGACTGGGGCGCCTGGCCCCGGGTGCGAGCCGGACGGTGGAGATCACGTGGCGGTAGTGCCACCACCACTGCCACGATTATGGAGAGTGACCGTGACGGGCACTGTCCGCCAGCGCCCGCCTTCGACACACGTCACGCTGGGGGCCGGGAGACGCCCTCCACTCACGGCCTCGGAGCGCCATCTCATCTGTCACCTCGGCGACCCTCCAACCCACGCCGTCCTCCCTCCCGTCTGCCAACCCTAGAGGCCGGGCACCGGCGAGCTCTTGCGCAGGTGGTGGCCCCTCCCCGTCTGCTGCCCCCAACACCCTCGTCCGCCAGAGTGAGAACCCCCCAACCCTGAATGCCACCCCAGCCTTCTCCGGCCTCCCTCTGCGGCTCCAGGTCCCCCTGGAACTCGAGGGCTCCTGTGCCACTGGCCCTCGAGAATCGCCCGCCCGCCTGCCGGGCTGAAGCGCCCGAGTCTGTGCACCTGCCCCGGAGCCACACCTGAGAGGGAATCGCGAGACGCCCAGTGACGCTGACCGGGGCTGTCACTTATGGAACTACGCTACACCTGCGTGGCGGCACTTAAGTGCTTAAGGATATACGCACACGCACACGCAGCCTTCCTGCGTGTGGCCCACTCAGACCCCAGACCCCAGCCTCCCTGGACCTGCCCGTGCGTCGAGGGCGGGCACCCGCAGGCACCTGGGGCCTTTCTGGGGCAGCCGCCTAGCCCTAGCCCTGCACAGAGAGGCTCGTAAGCTCCGAGGGGAGCCAGGGGGGATCGGGGCTGGGGAGAGAGAGAGAAGGAAAGGAAGGGCCTCCGTTTTAGGAGGCAACAGCCTCAGAGCAAGGGAAACTGCCGGAGAGTGAGGGTCGGAGCAGCGTAACCCCTTCGGCCCCATTTCACAGAGGAAGAAAGCGAGGCCCGGAGCCAGGAAGCGACTCGCCAGTGGCTGATATTTGCTGAGAGCGGGGCGGGCACTCTACTTGTGGCCTCCCACGCAGTCCCCGTGAGAATCCCAAAAGGCAGGCCATCCGCATTTCGGATGAGGACACCGAGGCCCGGGGCCAACACCTGCCTCCCCAGCGCGGCAGCCCCCGCACCTCTGGAAGCCCTCCCGCACCACGACAGGACACGGAGCCCTTGGCAGGCCGCTTCCTCTCCAGGGCCGAGGGGCTCCCTTCAGCGAAACGGGGACACAGCCATTGGCGGTTCCCACGCTTTCTTCCGCAGCGGAACCCCGTCTCCAGCCCCACGTGCGCCCGAGGCCCCCTGTGGAACAGAAGGGCGCAGGGCAGCTCGGGCAGAGACGGGACCCTCAGCCTCTGCACCCGAGCCCCGGCACCGCTGAGGAGCTTGTGTCCTGAGACCAGCGTCCTCCGAGCACCTCTGCTGGGCAGGCTAGGGGCTGAGGGGACAGTGGGGGCGAGGGGCCAGGAATGCAGACAGCCCCCCACTTCCAGCCCTGACTGAGCGCAGAGGCCAGGTTCAAAGGACCAACATCTCTCCCGGGATGGCTGCTAGGGTCAAGAAACCAACTCCACAACCAGAACGAGAAAGATGTGCAACGCTTGGGGGATGGCCGCGCTTGCAGCTCTTACTCGAGGGGGGAGGGGGGCACGGGCAATACATGTAACCTTAACACTTGTGCCCCCACAATACGCTAAAATAAAAAGAAAGAAAGAAACCAACTCCAAACCCCACCGCCCTGGGCTCAAACCTTTTATTCCTCCTCTTTTTTTTTTGACACAAGAGTCTCCCTTTGTTGCCCAGGCTAGAGTGAGTGCCGTGGCGTCAGCCTCGCTCACAGCAACCTCAGACTCCTGGGCTCAAGCGATCCTCCTGCCTCAGCCTCCCAAGTAGCTGGGACTACAGGCATGCGCCACCATGCCCGGCTCATTTTTTCTATATATATTAGTTGGCCAATTAATTTCTTTCTATTTATCGTAGAGACGGGGTCTCACTCTTGCTCAGGCTGGTCTCAAACTCCTGACCTTGAGCAATCCACCCGCTTCGGCCACCCAGAGTGCTAGGATGACAGGCGTGAGCCATGGTGGTGCCCGGCCTTATTCCTCCTCTTATCCCCATGGCTACGCCCTTAGTCCGGGCTGCCATTAGCTCTCTCCCAGACAACTGCCGGCCTCCCCCAGCCACTCCTGGCCTCTATTCCTGACCACCTACAAGCCCCGCTCTGTATAGGAGCTGAAGTGCACTCACAGCACCCAGTGGGCTGCCCCTTCCTTCCTTCACCCTAGCTCCTTTGCCTGGCCCCACCTCAGGGCCTTTGCACATGCTGTGCCCTCTGCCCCCGACAGCCCCTCACTCTTCACTAGCACCCACCCCGCTTTCTTCACTGCACATCTCGGGCCCTGAGATGGGCCCATGGGCAACCAGATCCCCGACGCCTGCTGGGTGGGCCTCCTCAGGGCCCAGGCCGGCCTGCCCGCCCAGCCACCACGCCCTGGCACCCACCCATCACAGTGTGCCGGACAAGTGAACAATCCCCACTGGGTGGGTGGCCACCTCCAGACTCAAGGGCTGGCTGGAGGAGACACAGGGCAGGCAAGACACCACGGGTGACTACCCCGGACACCCTCTGCTTCCATCCTGCGCGGGAACCAGATGCCAGGTTTTTGGTTCTGAGACAAGAGTCTAGCTGTGCTGCCCGGGGCCAGACTGCAGTGGCGTCAGCCTCGCTCACTGCAGCCTCGACGAGCCAGGAGGGTCCGCTTTGAAGCCAGGCGACAGTCTCGC